AAATTGTGGGTGCTTCGCATCCCATTTGTCAGTCTCAAAACGGCCAATCTCATATTCATGGGACGTCTATGTACAGTACAGGTGTGTTAATTTGGAACTGTGTACAAATTGCGATACCTCACTGCCCATCCGTGTCTTAGATCGAAAGCAATCCTCTTATCGTACTTTTATTTCACGCCTATCTTTAAAGTGGTAATACCAATGGTACTTACTTGCAGGTGGAGCTCTTTATCTAACTGGCTGATCCCTTGAGCAAGCTTTGCTAATTGTTCAGCAATAATAGCCTGGTGAATTGATTGGGAGGTATAGGCCTTGACGTCAAAGTCTTCCCGCAAAAAGTCTGCATAACATTCTGAAAGAAACAAAAGAAAGAAAAGTTGGCTTCCTTTTGCTCAGAGAATAACAACAACAACAACAACAACAACAACAATAATAGTTGAAAGGGATCTTGGAGATCATCTAGTCCAATCTCCTGCTCAGGCAGGAAACCCTATACCATTTCAGACAAATGGCTGTCCAGTCTCTTCTTAAAGACTTCCAGGGTTGGAGCATTCACCGCTTCTGGAGGCAGGTTGTTCCACTGGTTAATTGTTCTCACTGTCAGGAAGTTTCTCCTTAGTTCCAGGTTGCTTCTCTCCTTGATTAGTTTCCACCCGTTGCTTCTTGTCCTGCCTTCAGGCGCTTTGGAAAATAGCTTGACTGCCTCTTCTTTGGGGCAGCCCCTGAGATACTGGAAGGCTGCTATCACGTCACTCTAACTAATAAGGTGACCAATCGTCCTCCTTTAGGGAGGACAGTCCTTCTTTTGTAAGTTCTTCCTCTCTCGAAAATTGTCCTCCTACATGTCCTCCTTTTCGATATTTGAAGACTAATCTGTAAATCTCCATATTCGATCGATGCCGATCCGATCCGTTGCGTGTGATGTGACGTATTTGTATTTGACATGACAATTCGTCAAGGCTCGGTACAGTGCGGCGAGACGCGATTATGAGACGCATGCGCTCCGCACAGGAGAATTGTTTTGAGAGAGTGCGCCGCGCGCAAGAGTGCGCCGCACGCAAGTGGCTTTGTTTACTTCTTACCGAAACACGACATGGCACACACGCACGCATTAGACTCACTTTTTTTTCTTCAATTTATTTGTGTCCTCCTTCTCATTGTAAAAAAGTTGGTCACCTTAAACTAAGGCAAAGACTGTCTGAATAATTTCCTTGTCGCTTTAGATTGTTTTGGTTTTCAGTCATGCTTCTCGCCTCGTCTCTTGGGGAATCGATCTGGCATAACTCCACCAAAGACATCTTTTTTACCCTCTATACTTCAGGAGGGGCTCAAAGTGGCTCTCCTCAGTGGTGAAACTGAATTAGGAACATGAAGCACAGAGATGCAATCCTACAAGGGGCTTCAATTTTTAGGGGCTGCAACAAATAGTACCACGGAGAGAGTTGGCTATGCAGTGTTGGCCAAGCTTAGCCACTTGAAGACAGGTGGCCTTCAACTCCCAGAATTCCCCACGGCACTGAGGTCCAAGCTTCAAATGACTTCAACTCCCAGAAATCCCAACTGCATTGCACGGACTCCATTTGTAATGCATTGACTGCATGGCATGGCAGCGGCCAGCAATGCTGGCTGGGGAATTCTGGGAGTTGAAGTCCACCCGTCTTCAAGCGGCCCAGCTTGGCCAACACCCCAATAGAAGGACTGCAAGCAACTAAGGCAGGGGTGGGGAACCTTGGCTCTTTTATGACTCGTGGACTTCAACTCCCAGAATTCCTCAGCCAGCCACGCTGAGGGGAAAGGGGGAGGGTTCCAAGCTGAGCCATGCTGGCTCAGGAATTCTGGGAGTTGAAGTCCACCAGTCATGAGGGGGCCATAGTTCCCCCATGCTGGCTCAGGAATTCTGGGAGTTGAAGTCCACGAATCATAAAGCGACCTAGGCCTAGACCAGAGGTAGGCAACCTCGGCTCTTTTATGACTCGTGGACTTCAACTCCCAGAATTCCTGAGCCAGCCATGCTGAGGGGAAAGGGGGAGGGTTCCAAGCTGAGCCATGCTGGCTCAGGAATTCTGGGAGTTGAAGTCCAGTAATCTTTCTCAACGTCAGAACATTGGGTTAAACCAAGGGGAGGCAACCTTGGCTCTTTTATGACTCGTGGACTTCAACTCCCAGAATTCCTGAGCCAGCATGGCTCAGCTTGGAAACCTCTCCCTTTCCCCTCAGCGTGGCTGGCTGAGGAATTCTGGGAGTTGAAGTCCACGAGTCATAAAAGTGCCAAGGTTGCCTATCCCTGTCCTGGGGAATCTCTGCTGCCACCTAGCGATGCCCAGAGAGATTTGCAGCCCCCTAGGCAAGTAATTAATGCCAGGGAACCCACGGGGTCTTTGGGGGGGCGGGGGGGATAAAAAGTAATTAAAACCCCGCCAACAACCAGGGCAGACCCTTCCCCTCGCCCCCCTCCCCCGTCTTTCTTCCTCACCATCTCCCAGGAGCTCCCCAGTCCGCGGCTCGGAAAGGGCGGCCGTGCCCGTCTCCGGAGTACTTTTCAGTCCTTCCATGCTGGCACCAGAAGAACAGCTGCGCCGTGACGACATCAAAGGGCGCCGCCCGCTCCGTCGCGCGTAGCATCGGCCATAGAGATTGTAAAGGTTAGACGTGCCACACGCATGTCTACTCCCCCCCCACCCCCCAAGACTTCTTTTCTGATTCGCTCCCTATAAGTGAACTTATTCGATTTTCCCCAAAAGACAACTTTGTAACATCAATGTCAAGAACGTAAAGCTATTTAAAGCAAATATGGGGGGTTAGGAAAAGACTGCCAATTTCCATAAACTTCAGTCATTCCCATTGGTGGGTCAGTCTAAGGTTTCTGGATCCCTAAGAACAAATCTTCTATGCAATCTATGGAGACTTTATTGCTGCAATAAAATCTTCCTCAATTCCGGGAAAAGGACTCGGAGCAAGAATAGTTTGCTTTGGGATCCTTCCGGGATGCTTTTCTACTTCCCTGTCAGGGTTATAAAAGGGTATAAAAGGCACAAACACTGGATGGCAGAAAGATTTAGAGGGCTGACGGCTCTTTGCTGTCCTCCAGTGGCTATTTGGGTTTAATAATAATAATGATAAAGTTGGAAGGGATCTTGGAGGTCATCTAGTCCAACCCCCTGCTCAGGCAGGAAACCCTATACCATTCCAACTTCTTTATTATTATTATTATTATTATTATTATTATTATTATTATTATTATTATTATTATTATTATTATTATTATTATTATTATTATTATTATTATTATTA